AAATTTCATAATGTCTAATATTCCAAAACTCTTTTATTACTTTTCAGCAGTATATTTTAACAGCTCTTATATTTCATATTTACATTAAATTTTCATACGAAAAATTATGATTTATTTTGAAATATATTCAGTAATTTTTCAAAAACTTTTATTTTACTTTTCATTGATTTCATAGTACTTTTAGTAAAATATTTCCATCAGGATAGAGATCGTATCTCTAGCCTGAGCCATTGAAATCGATTATTAATTATCGACAAAGCGTTGCAGAATTGATTATTGTCGATAAACATGATAAAATAAATTATTATCTGCATTTCAACTGTAAAATTTGGGTAAAAAGGAACAGAACAAGGAAAAGTAGTCGTAATGCAACTAAACACACCTGTGTTCAGTGTTTCAAATATACGCTTCACTTTATACTCATGCAGAGGCAAGCTCAATTACTGGAAAAAACGCGGCGTCGAGTCTCTCGAGGGCGATCTGATCTTCGGCAACTTCAAGGACGCCATACTCTTCCGCTCTGCGCCGGGATGGCATATCGGTCAGCTGTACAAAGCCGCTCGGGCGGACGCGGCTTACGTCGGCTTTTACATCTTCCACAAGCCGTGTCTGCTGTTGCGCGACCCGGACGTCATCAAGCAGTTCATGATCCGCGACTTCAAGAACTTCTCCGATCGCCACTTCGCTGGCCCCAATCAGAAGGACAGCATCGGTATGAAAAATCTGTTCGGCGTGAAGAACCTGGTATGGAAGTACCTGCGCACCAAGATCGCGCCCACGCTGATGAGGAACAAGCTGAGGCAGATGTTCCCGCTGATGATGGAGATCGGCACGCCGATGATGGAGTATCTGGAGAAGCAGCCAGCGGTCCGCGGCAATGCGAAGCTCGTGGACGTGCAGGAGCTCAGTTACAAGTACACGACCGATTTGATCGCGTCCGTCGCTCTCGGCACGAAAATGGACACCTTTCACCATCCGAACACGGAGTTCTCGTCCGGAGGTATTAGTGTTGTGAATTAAACGGCTGAATGCGCGACAGAGCAATCGATAGAGACGGTTGTTGTGTCATTAACTGCGATGCAACTTTAACGCTACATGCGCAATAATTTTGCATTTTACAAATACTTTCGCTCGTTCAAGAGGATGATCGCTCTGGTGACGGTGTTCTTCATGCCCGAGCTGGTGGAGCTGATCAGGGCGAAGATACTTTTCGACTTCTCCTTCGTGCGTAAGGTTTTCTGGAGCGCGATGGAGAATCGCGAGAAAACCGGTGAGAAACGAGACGACTTCATCGACTCGTTGCTCCAACTCAAGTACGGCGAACAGAATCCTGTTTACAGTGAGTAAATTTGTGCTTTCAATTTTTTATTATTTATTTCTTTGTATCTCGGCAATAGTTAGCGGAATATTATTATTATACGTTTTTAGTATAATCTTTTACGATTTCCGTTTTCTATTTTTTGTACGACCTTCCTCTGATAATTTTTATGATCTTTTTTTTACCGTGTATTTTACTGCAGTTAAATAAATCAAGAGATAATATAAAAATTACAATCGGCTGATGTTTACTGCAGAATTTGAAGGTGAAAATCTGCTGCATCAGTCCGGCACTTTCATTTCCGGCTTCGAAACGAGCGGTACCTGCATGTCCTTCACCCTGATGGAACTAGCGAATTATCCAGAGTGTCAAGACTTAGCCAGGCAGGACATCAATCAAGCAATCGCCAAGCACGGCTGGTCGTATGAAGCGTTCAACAATATGAAGTATCTTAATCAAGTAATAGCCGAAGCTCTCAGGCTGCATCCACCAGTGTCCACCATAGACAGATACACTCGTCAGGATTACAGAGTAAGTCCGAAATGTCATACCTTTAGACATCTTTCTCTTCTGAAATATTTAAGTCGAGATTCAAAGTCCTTTCCAAACTAATGCTGTTGACTCACGCAAATGTCAAACAAAAAACTTTTCTCGAAATGTCCTTCTTCAAAACTCTAAATCATTGCAAACTTTGATATAAAATTATTTAAGATAGTAGAGAAGTATAATTTTTTAAAACTTATACGTTTAGAAGTTGAATACTGTGAAAGACTTAACAGAGGGATTATTTATTACAAAATAATCTTGTTCATAAAGTTTACTCTCTTAGAAATAAACTCTTTTGTTCACTCTAATAATTTATTAGAATATCGAGAAAAGCGTAAATGTGTATGCGTTTCAGATTTCTGGCACCGATATCATTATCGAGAAAGGAACACCGGTATTTATTTCTCTGTACGGACTCGGTGAAGATCCGAAGTTTTGGCATGCGCCGGAAGTATTCAACCCTGACAGATTCGCTGAGAATAACCGCAACACGAGCGTTTACCTACCGTTCGGATTAGGTCCCAGGATGTGCATAGGTAAGTAGCATATTTGCATTATAATAGTAATTTATTCTGTTCTACAATTATTGTAAAAAGTACACAACAAAATTTTTTTATTATTATAACAAAAAAGTAGTAGCATATAAAAAAGAAAAAACGTAAGGAAAGATAAAGACTGTGATGAATTATCGTGACTTTATTGAAATTGATATCGAATTTATTTAGAACAGAGATTCAGAATTTTATTCTCTAGAGATCGTATTGCCATTGAAATCGATAAAGCGCGATAGAATTAATTATCGATAAAGTATTGTAAAATTGATTATTATCGATAAAACGTGATAGAATTAATTATTATCTGCATATAAAAGCAGATAGATTTATATTGCAAACTAATCGATAAATCGGATGATATAATCGGTGAAACGTAATATACAGGGTGGTCCATGAAACCCGGTCGGGTTCTAGCACTTGTTCTGTTGAAGATAGAAAAAGATGGTGCAGGCAAAAATTAAAATCTTTTATAAAACTTCTCTAAAGTTCTTGGCGAATCACGCTATACACTTTTTACCTTATATTTATGCTAAAAAAGAAAGATTATATCTACATTTTCGTTTGATTATACATATATTTTTTCGAAAAAAATAATTTCATACATTTTAACTTCCATTAATTAGTTATAATTATCTCTACTGTTTTTACTTCAATTTTTCAGTTGAATAGTGCTTCTTTCGAAGGTTTTTTTCTTTTATTTGAAATTTTTTGGAAGGCAGTTGAATAGAGTTAAATATACTTGAACTTTAATTCTTGGGTTTTATAAGTAATTTCGCATTTGCAATAGATGATATCATTTTTTTACACTGAGGAAATCGATGCAGACAAATCTTCATTACACAACTTCGGCAAACGAACATCTCATTTACATGTTAATCAAACTTCACTTTGCCTGGCAAAAAAAAATAGACAGATTTAATGGAAAAACCCCGAAATTACTTATTGCACAACTCAAGAATTTCACTTGTTTGCTGCTTACTGATAAGACGCTATCACGAAAAGCATTTCTACAAAAATTTGATAATCGTTACTTAATACTTCAGTTATTATCAATCAATAGCGGATGTTTTAACTTGATCTTTATTAATTCGCAGGAATGAAGGTGGGTCAGCTACACGCTAAAATTGTCTTAGCGTTGCTTCTACACAATTACGAAATCTGGCAAACCCAGGAGCACAAGAGCGTTCTGGATCCGCGATCGACCTTCACGGCAGCGGCCAACGGGATAAATTTATACTTCAAGAAAATTGTTCGATAACGCGTCTATCAAGTCTGTATACTTGTCTGTATACAATACTTCGAGAGAATTATTCAAGCTACGATTATTTATTTAACACTTTCTGTCATCGGCACATTGTTAGTGCATAATTCTGCAATGTGAATGTTATCATACTATGCATGGGTCAAAGGACTACTTTATTCAATGATAAGCTGATAAATTTCTCCATAAATTTCTCGATAAACTCTTATATCTTCGTGTCAACGGTTTACATTAGTATGCGATGTATCTTGCGGTTTTTCTAACAGCTTTCCACACAGCATGGAATGTCGTCAAAATGTCGCCAGAATATTACATTTAAAATCTGAAATATTCTGATAATAATCTCAAAAATATTCTAGCAATGTTAGCAGAATGTCTTATGTTCGCACTTGGCAATATTCTGGAGACATTCTGTAATTTTCTGGAGACGTTTTTTAATATTCTGGTGATATTGTGGAGACATTCTGTAATATTCTGGCGATATTATACAGACATTCTGAAGACATTTTGTAACATTGTGGCGATATTCTGGATATATTCTGAAATATCTTCAATGTCTGCACAATATCGCCACAATATTATACGTACGAAATAAAATCTTTCCATCAGCAGTCGGTGGCATATATATATATACACTCACCCGAAAAAAAAGCGGTACACTGAAAATGTGGGAAAAATTCATCAAATTTCAACTGACGATAACTTCGTAAATAATAAAGATAGAAAGTTCTATAAAATATGGAAATGAAGCTAAAAAATCTCTACTTTAAAAAATCAATTTATTTCAATGTTGCAAAATAAATTTATTGAAAATGGCGGATGACAAAGCGCGAGCATGCAAAATTGAAAAATAATGGTTCGAGTTTGCGACGGTGCACGGTATAAACAAAAAATTGTAGCTT